AAATTCCAATACCAAATTAAGAGCATATATAGTGCATATGAATGAATGAGTCGCACCAGGATCAAATAAAATTCAGGCCCAAAAATTATAAAGAAGAACGATACATTCCACAACTGCATTGAAAACGTTTTCCTCCGGTTAGGTCAAAGCAAACAATCTTACTTGATTGGCATCGCCTGAGGCTAGAGCTCCTAACGGTCTCTACTGTAGTGGCTTCTGTAGTAGTGGCTTCTTTGCATTTACTTGTCTCGTTGCTTGGTTGGTCTTTGTTGAAAATAATGGGTAGTTATTTTTGTAGTGCCTGAAACCTCTACATGCAAAACATTGACGCGGGTCAGTGCCTGCTCGATTCTGAGTAACCCCATCTCCTCGAACTATCTGAAGTCTCTGTCCAACTACCTGGTCTAGGCGATGGTATGGTGTCACTCTCGGCACTCCACTGCTGCTAACACCCATTCGGATTTGACCTCCCCTCGCGAAGTTCTGTCGCCATTGGTTGTCCTCCGTGTCTCTCTTCACTAGTGCAGCTCTATCAACAAGATCCCTATAGTCTCGGATCTTGTGAGCCACAAGTTTCTCCTAGATGGCCGACCTCAAGCCCTCTTCAAAACGTTTGGCCCTCTTGGCCTCAATAGATATGAATTCCGTGGTGTAACGAGATAACTCGTCAAACTTCCTCTCATACTTGGCTATCGTCGTGCTACCCTGTCGTAGAGCGAGAAAGTCGGCACTCATCTTGTCTCTGATTGATTTAGGAAATTATTTGTCTTGGAAGATCTGATCAAACTCCTCCCAGGTAAGAGCATCTGTGTTCCTCCTCTTCACCGAATCCCACCAATGATCTGCCTCCCCCTCTAACAGATATGTAGTTAAGCCGACCTAAAGATCCTCGACAACTCCCATGCATCACACATTTTCTTCACCTTGTGAATCCACTTATCCACATCCAAAAGGTGAGGGCTTCCTTGAAAAGTAGGTGGGTGTTGCCTAAGAAATTCTCGAAGAACAATCATTCTTCGATTTTCGTCCTCGTTGCCTGGAACATGAGCTAATGGATGAACCCCACCATTATGGTTGTTGTTCCCATTTTGGTGTTGCACCAAGGCGGTTAGTTCCCTTAGACATTGATAAATGCCGCTCATGGCATCTGGAGGTGGTGGGTTTGCTTGGCCACCACGTTCCCATCCACCCTCCATCCTGCACATTAATTCACAATTTAATTTCCTTGATGTACAAGACATCCTAACTCTCCTTTAATCTAAAGTATAAGGCTTGTATAAAGTTTAAATCAACAATTTCATTCAATCTAGTCCTACTTCTCTAGTGGTGATTTATAACCTACAGCTCTCATATAAGACCTAATAACCTGGCTCTGATACCAACCTTGTAACGCCCAAAAATTCACCTTGGATGACATTACTATCTAAAAGTCATTCACATCACAAGAGCAACTAATAAGATCCATCAATAAAGATAATTTCATTTATCATCCATCATATATACATCGCCACAAAAGAATATGCCAAACCATGACCATTACATCCAAAAGAATATGCCCAAACTATTATCCTGCAGCGGAATAAAGAAAGTATTAACATGAACATTATCTCAAAATGAAACTCCTAGTCTAGTACATAAAAATAGCAATTCTAAACATCCCCCTCGCAAGGTACCAATCCCACTACGAGTGGTAGAAAAAATTCAAACCCGCACGGATTAAGAAACGCATCTACCCACTCTAAGATACCCGATCAACGGCCACTCATGGTTATCCAAACATCCACAAGAAATACAACACCCAACCAATTTCTCCAATCACACGTAAAATCCAAAATCTCTAAATTTCATATATATGATTCCAATAGAATAATTTAAGAAAATATGCAAGAGAAAATCAAAAGACATACTTTTATTGTTCAAAATAAAGCACTAAGGTTTTTGAATCAAGAGTACAAGAATATGAAGAAGAAGATTTCATGTTTTTCAAAAACTAAGTTTTGACATCAAGAACAAAGGTTTTATGGATATCACCATAACTTCACTTAAAACATGGTAATAGTCGCAAGAATATCTAGAATCAAGGATTTCAATACATATATATGAGATTTAGAGTCAAAACATGTATATATATAAGCCCTAGCATCAATGAACAAGAGTGGAAGAAAATCTCTACCTTTCTTCCTTAGCTTTGAGTGAAGAACTAGAAGATTTGATCTTTTCCCAACTTGAATCAACACTTTAATCTCTTTGTTTTTTCCTTTTTTTTTCCTCTCTAAGCTTCCCTAGGGTTAGAAATGTTGAAATGAGGCTAATGGTGGTGTCCTTATGTATTTATAAGGTGAGAAGTGGTCTCTTGTACGTGATTTTGAAGGTCTGAATTCGTAACTCACATTCGAACGTCATTGGCGTTCGAATGTCCTTTTCTCCTAATACTTTTGTTTTTCAATCAGACAAAAAGTACTGGAATACACTGTCATTCGAACGAACTTTCACGTTCGAACGTACTTCCTATTTCTGCTGAAACTTCCAGTGAAGTTTTGGCCTATTTAGAGTTCGATTTGGAAAATGTTAGTGAAATACGCTTTTGTAGCCTTGGAAGTCTACTATCTACTGTAAAAATTTCATCTCAAACAGACATAAGGGTAAACGTTATGGTCCAAATACTAAGCAGTGTCTAAAATTCTTTCTACCCAAATTTTTATCTAAAATGTATTTGAACTTTGGACTACTTCCCAACTTCCAATCCATACCCTATTACCTCGCCTAACATTTTTGTTTATACTTTTACAATCCACATAGTTCATGCATACATTATCACATATATTAGCATTCCAAAAATAATTATATTGCTATATTACGATAGGCATGTGGAGGTTTACAATCTTGGAGCATTCCAAAATTTGGAAGATTCAGATTTAGAAATGTTTGATTTAATGGATATTAAACAAATTATTCTTGGTAAAATAAAGAAGGAATTAAGGGAGAATTTTGGCCATAATTGAAGACAATATCATCAATGACGTATTTCTCATCATAATTGAAGATAACATCGTCTATGATGAATCTCGTACTTTTGTAAAATCAAGATGTATGTGGTGATGTCACTTCACATCTTTTTTTTATAGTTTTTTGAAATTCAGAGTTTTAGATCCGAATATCTTTTCGATTTAAAGGGATTACCCTCACCCTTGTTGAGGTAAAAATTTTCTTTGAAGTTTTCTCTCTCTCTCTAAGGTAGACTTCCATTCTTCGGTTGTGAAGCTTTCTTCTCATCCCTCTATTGTAACTTTGAATAACTTGTTTAATATAAGTATTTTGATCTATATTCCTTCGATCCTTTCTCTCTCTCTCTCTCTCTCTCTCTCTCTCTCTCTCTCTTTATATATATATATATATATATATATCTATATTATTAATAAAAGTACCTTAAGATGAAATTTTTTTGAATCTCTATTTTACCCTTATAAAGGATTGTAAAGACCATTATATCATTTTACAATTAAATATCTAAATTACTATCATATTATTATGTCTTTAAATCTCCAAATTATCTATAACATTTCTTTTAATTATTTAATTAATTTTTATCAAAAAATTTGATTGATTATATTACACTTAAAATATATGCATCATTATATTTTCAATAAAGTGTTCAAAAAAGCCTTCAAAAACTTTGTCATTCTACTATTCCTTATCTTATATGCAATTATAATATTATGCCTATATATGTGAATTTTTTTTCATATATAAGTTTAACCCTTTTATTTCTAAGATAAAAAATAATCGTATATATAATTTTTTAAAATTAATTTGTGTTACATCACTATAATTCTTTAGTCACAATAAATGTTTCAAGTTGTATTAAGATTTTATGCAAAAAATAGATATTGTAGTGTATTTTTAAGTAAAACTTAAATTTTTTAGATTTTTAATATGCTTAATAATATATATTATAGAGTAGTATATTAAATCTTATTCCAATTGACCTACCTAATTTCTATTATAGTAATGTTCCAATGTGATTAATATTATTGACAATTATTTTTATTTTATTCAAGGATTTATAAGCGAAATCCTAATCAAATGAATTTCAAAAAAATTAATTTCTCAAATATCACTAAAAAATCAATCTCAATCACAAAATTCTTAAAAATAAAACTTTAATTATTTTTTTTAATAGTTAGAACTAATAATTTTGAGAACATACATAATAGAATATAAGCAGAGAAATAAGTTTGATAAATTTTATATGATATTTAATGCAGATATAAATATACCTATTATGTTTTTTTAATTTTTATATACAAAAATTATTCACGTGCTGCATTGCTAATATTAATTAAAGTCACTAACGTTGAAATTTTTTTGAATGATTAGTATATCTTTATATCATTATTAAAATAGTTAATGACATCATTATCCTTCAATAACTTGAAAAGACATAAATATTCATTCATCCTTATAAACTTCACTTAACAATACCACTATCGTTTACTAATTCAAATTACATTATATCTCTTCGTTCATCTCTCTCTCTCTCTCTCTCTCTCTATATATATATATATATATATAGTATTTTTTTTCATTTTGCGCTTTTATGATGTGTTTTGTTTTGAGAATTTGAATTTACTTTACAATTTTTTAGAATTATAATTTTCCATCAGTAAAATGTTGAGTCCTAAAAAAAATAGAAAAGGAATTCGGATGCCTGTTTCAGAGTTTGGAAGTCTCTCTAAAAACTCTAGTTTGAAAATTCCAGTAAGTTAGAGGCGTTGGACACCACTTTGCGACTAAAAATTCTCCAGATCGATGTTGTTCATCATTTTCAAACCCAAATCTCAATTTTCTACAAACCTAGAACCGCAAAACCCTTCTCCAAGCTTCAAAACTCAATACTAATATTTCCCTTTGGATTTCAAGCCTTAGAACATCTAATCTAAGGTTCCTAATTTCTTCTAGCTAATTGATTTCTTCAATTTCACATCGAATTTTTCAAATCCATGGCACCTAAGAAGAAGTTGATTGCTAACAAACTCGAGTCTAGTTTATGGATATCTCAGAGGAACCAACAACAACCTCCTCAAGAGCTCAATGAGGAACGAAATCCGGGGTTGTACGAGCAAGAACCAACGGTCATCAAAAATTTAAAATGGGAAATTTATGGGAATGTTGTGCAACGAGATAGGTATGAAAGTAATTTCTCCTTTAAAAATGTAGGTGATAAACGAGCTATTAAATTTGAAGAATTTTTGCACTTGGGCATTTGGGAAATGTTAGAAGAAAGAGGTTGGGAGAAGTTCATGAAACAATTGGGCATTGGTGCGGTTTGTGTCATGGGGGAATTTTATATTAATTCCAAACCAGCTAGGGCTAGGCAATTCATGACTTACATTAGGGGAGTCAAATTCATTGTTAATCTTCAAATTCAAAGAACCAAATCGACTCTCCAAATGTGAAGCATTCTGTTGCATTATTTTGGTGGTGGGGGGGGGGGGGCAATGTTTACATCCAAATATTAAAAGATCTAAAGACGAAATGTGGAGACATCCAATGATCAGGATAAATTTAGAAGGAGTCCAAGTAAGACAGGATAGTTAAAGGAATAGGGCTCTTTGAATCTCGAAAAACGGAAAGGTGTGACAAACATGACATTATGAGTCGTCAGTTGTGGATGATTTGATGCACATATAGGCACATGGGAGAAAGAGGTCATGATTATAATCATGTCTGGACAAAGTGGCTTCAGTAGTTATAGAAGGGAGGACTACAGAGAAAAGCTCCTCGATCAAATACACAACTCTACACAGAGCTAGCCTCTTCCTTAGTTTATTTTCTACATTTCTCCTTTACTCTATAAACGTCACTTCGGCGATCTTTCTTTTTAGTTAATGCTAGGTATAGTAGTTTGCATAGCACTCTCCACTGTTCATTTTATTATTTTCAATCCCAGTAGCTTTTTCTAATTTCAATTCATTAATTTGCTGCAATAGAAATTATTTAAGTCATTGATCTCCAAGGCAGAGGAAGTAGTCTAGAAGTAGCCTTATGCTTCATGACAAGCTTGAACAGTCACGATTTTAGAACCTTAGACTAGTTTGAATAAGTAAGGTCATACGTGTTTAGATTTTGAGTATGTTCAAACTTTGGCACGACTGTAATACTAAAATATGCAAAATAGATATAATAACATAAAAAGAGAGTTTAAAAATCAGATGCAATGCCAAACCAGAAAGAAGCATCTTATAGACCACTCGGGGTCGATATAAACCATATGAACCAACCTTTTAGGTGACTTGCACCCAAGGAAGATGAGCTCCCTAATTCCATACAATCAAATTCGATTACCCAAGTTTGAAGACCAACAGGGCCACTTAGGCATTTACAAACTCAATGAAACCCTCTACGATCTTAACCTGGAAAGTAAACCCTCTGTCACTTTTCATGTGTGCACTTACATTTCATTCAAAAGGATCCCAGAGTTCAATTTTATACAAGCAAAATGAACCATCGCGAAAAGTGCACATCAAAATCGTAAGTGGGTTTGTAGTTCTAAAATAGTGTGAATCTCCAAATCAAGTTCAAATAGCATGGTAAACAATGAGAATAACATATTTAATAAGTTTGTTAAGACCTTGAAAAATCTCTCTCATTTCAAAATTGAGAAAATCTACCACAAATCAACACTAAGCTTGCCAAGTAAGAATTCAAGCTAACACCAAATAAAAATTGGAATCGTTTCTTCCTTTTCTCTTACTTTATTTTTATCTTTCTCTCTCTTAATTCCATCTCTCTTAATCAAAGTTAATGGCACATGTATAGTTCCTTTCCAACTTAACAAAGGTGTATTCCATTGAAACCCTACTTATGTAGTGTTTTTATACATTCTGTAGGTAATCTTCATGGATTAAAACTGTTGCAACTCTGGTTTTGTATATCCAATTTTTACCACTTGTGGGAGATGAAAATAGACTCATAGGTATTCAATCCCAAAAAACATCACTATTTTTACAGGTCCACTACTCATCCAAATTGATCACCAAAACTGAACATTAGTTGCAGAATCTTAGGGTTTCACAAGTCATAGTCATCTTTAAAAATTCACCATAATTAATTTTTATCTTCTTTTTACATGAAACCAAAGAGAAAGAATATTTGACTAACCTATTGTAAATCTAAAATGTTTAGAATCAAAACCTAACTGTCACATAAGAGTATTAACCTGAAACCACCTACTATTAAAAAAATTTCTAGAACTAGACTTGTAGGTCAACTTTAGAAATTCACCAAAATTTGAGTATTCATCCTTTTTGCATGAAACCATCTCCAAAATAACCATTTATGAAAACAAAACTAAAAGAATCCTTTTTCAGTCTAGTTTATGGTCCCAAAGTTTCAGAATCATTCAATAATTATAACTATTTGAATGAACCACAACCTCACCTGCAGTCCAAAATTTCTAGGATCCTTTCTTCTATTTTTATTTTCCTATTCCTTTGGTGGCTTCCTTTCTTCCTTTATTGTCTTCTTCTTCTCTTCTTTCCTTCTTCCTCACTTCATCATGTTTTCAACAGCTCCTCACTATCTTCCGTATACTAGATTTTACCCCTAAGCACACACTGCACATGGCTCTCTCACATACACAAGGACAAGTGTCCTCCCCTAACCCTGCAAGCTCTCTTATCTCTTATCTCTCTTTTTTTTTTCTCCCTAGCTCTTATCCACTAAATCCTCTTCCTCTTCATTCGCCAAGAATCCTTTTGCTTGGCTAAGGCATCCAAGAGCTAGACACCTCATCCCTTGAGGTGTCAAGTTTCATAAGAAAATTCACCCCTTTCTTATTTTAATTCGATTTAACCTTTAAAGATGATTTTACCCCTATTATATTTTTGCGTGTTTTCAACCCAGCCACTTAATTGTGACTTTACAAACCACCAAATATCAAATTTTCATCCAACTTATTCAATTTTTTTTTATCATAGATGTCACACCCAGTTCCTGCCTTAGTGCACCCTATGCATTGGATTCCACCCCAGATATAATCCTTTTCTTGGGAGCCATGGATGAATGTTTGAAGGTAAAGAGAGAGATATTAGGGAAGTTTTAGTTTTTGATGAATGGTTGAGGAAAACCTTCCAAAATTATGATAGAATGGTAGATTGGGTGAAGAATGTAGATAACTGGGTGATGTGGTGAAGATTTGGGATGAATAAAGGTGGTTTTTGAAGAAAAACAAGGGAAGACGAAGGGTTTAGGTTTTTCAAAATTTAAGAAGTTTTAGACATTTGGAGAAGATGTCAATGTCTTTTATAGGTTGGAAGTTCCATTAGGACATATGCATTAAGGTGCTGGAATATTAAGTGTTGCGTTCGGATGGTGCTAGTTGTAAAACTTGGGTAAATTGGAACTTTTTATGAACAAGGGCAAAATGATAATTTGCTACTTCGGTGTGGGTTAAAAATCCATATTTGTCTAGAGCTCGGATGTTAAAATGGACCTCACCTTTAGATTCGTCTCGCAAAATCTAGTTACCTAGATAATTTTTGTCGAATTTTGAGATAGTCAGATTTTTTGCATAAATTTTATTATAATTTAAATAAAGTTCATATAAAAATATCTTGAACTTAAATCGGGACAAAATTTAATCATTTTAGGACGAAAACGGACCCAGAAATAGGGAACGGGTGGCGAGACGTGGACCAAGCATTAAATGGTGTAAATAGGAGTAAAAAAAACTAATTTTCTACAAAAATATCTGCTGGGTTACTGGGTTCTAACGTTGGAAAAGGAAGAGAGGGAAAGGAAGAAAAAAGTAAAGATTCAAGACTTCTCTCTACGATCTACAGAGTTTTGCCAGTCAGAATCCTTTGGGCTAAGTATTAAAGTCGATCATAAAAAACTTGTGTTGGGAATAACAAGAAGGGCTAGATTCTCCCTTGGGTGCAAGACCTGATTATTGGTTTATACCCTTCCTTCAACGCTAGTCCAAAAAAGTGTATCGGTGTGTNATTACCCAAGTTTGAAGACCAATAGGGCCACTTAGGCATTTACAAACTCAATGAAACCCTCTACGATCTTAACCTGGAAAGTAAACCCTCTGTCACTTTTCATGTGTGCACTTACATTTCATTCAAAAGGATCCCAGAGTTCAATTTTATACAAGCAAAATGAACCATCGCGAAAAGTGCACATCAAAATCGTAAGTGGGTTTGTAGTTCTAAAATAGTGTGAATCTCCAAATCAAGTTCAAATAGCATGGTAAACAATGAGAATAACATATTTAATAAGTTTGTTAAGACCTTGAAAAATCTCTCTCATTTCAAAATTGAGAAAATCTACCACAAATCAACACTAAGCTTGCCAAGTAAGAATTCAAGCTAACACCAAATAAAAATTGGAATCGTTTCTTCCTTTTCTCTTACTTTATTTTTATCTTTCTCTCTCTTAATTCCATCTCTCTTAATCAAAGTTAATGGCACATGTATAGTTCCTTTCCAACTTAACAAAGGTGTATTCCATTGAAACCCTACTTATGTAGTGTTTTTATACATTCTGTAGGTAATCTTCATGGATTAAAACTGTTGCAACTCTGGTTTTGTATATCCAATTTTTACCACTTGTGGGAGATGAAAATAGACTCATAGGTATTCAATCCCAAAAAACATCACTATTTTTACAGGTCCACTACTCATCCAAATTGATCACCAAAACTGAACATTAGTTGCAGAATCTTAGGGTTTCACAAGTCATAGTCATCTTTAAAAATTCACCATAATTAATTTTTATCTTCTTTTTACATGAAACCAAAGAGAAAGAATATTTGACTAACCTATTGTAAATCTAAAATGTTTAGAATCAAAACCTAACTGTCACATAAGAGTATTAACCTGAAACCACCTACTATTAAAAAAATTTCTAGAACTAGACTTGTAGGTCAACTTTAGAAATTCACCAAAATTTGAGTATTCATCCTTTTTGCATGAAACCATCTCCAAAATAACCATTTATGAAAACAAAACTAAAAGAATCCTTTTTCAGTCTAGTTTATGGTCCCAAAGTTTCAGAATCATTCAATAATTATAACTATTTGAATGAACCACAACCTCACCTGCAGTCCAAAATTTCTAGGATCCTTTCTTCTATTTTTATTTTCCTATTCCTTTGGTGGCTTCCTTTCTTCCTTTATTGTCTTCTTC